GTGCGGGGTGGGGGGGCTGGGGGCTCGCGGGGTGGGCACAGCCAGCGGCTTGGGGCTTGGGACGTGCACGGCCGGCAGATTCGGGGGCCTGGCACCGCAGGGAGGGGGCTGTATTTCGTGCAAGGCACGGCCCTGGCAGCAGCCCCGGGCTCGTGGGGATCGGGCTGTTCTATAAAGGCGAACAATGCTGCGGTTGTTCCTTTGCTGCCGAGCCCAGAATTTGGCAGGGCCGGGGAGCCTCCAAATCGGACAATAATTGCTCACATCTGTTGGCTCACCTGCGCCGCGGATGGGAACAGCGTGTGCCGGCTCCAGCGCGCCGCCGCACTTCTTATGGAAGGGGCAGTGAAATCTGGCTCCCGGGAGAGGCCGGAGTTGGGGTCCCAGCAGCCCAGGGGTGAAAGCCCCTACAGCCCCGTGGGGGAGCTGGGGTGCCCCAGCCCTGGCCACGCTCCCATTTGGGGGGTGCACACTCAGACCTCGCCTGGACCCAGCCACAGGGAGGGGACCAGGAATGGTGTGGTGCTACGGGCCCCGGGTCCCTGGCTGTGGGGTGGCCCCACGCCATCCAGGCTGACCCCATGGACCAGCCACCATTCCTGGGTACCCTGGCAGCCCCCAGAGCCCCCACGTCCCAGCAGACCCTGTACCACACTGTCCCCTGGGTGTCCTGGCAGCCCCCTGAGACTGTTTAGCTCTGCTATCCCCTGGTCACTTTGGCAGATCCCATAGACCCTACAGACCCCCTCCCCTGGCTGTGGGACAGATCCCATTGACCCCACGTCCTCTGGCTGACACATAGAGCCCCCCTACCCCTGCATGTCCTGGCAGACCCCACAGACCCCCAGTCCCCTCACCATCTGGGCAGACCCCCAGAAAAAAAGCCTCACTTTGCCCCATCCCATCCTGTCCCATCCCATCCCATCCCATCCCATCCCATCCCATCCCATCCCATCCCATCCCATCCCATCCCATCCCATCCCATCTATCTCATCTCATCTCATCCCATCCTGTCCCATCCCCGTCCCCAATCATTTGGTGCCCTCTAGTGAGGCCCAGCCCGGCCCCAGCCCCACAGCAGGGTCCTGTGGGCAAATAAGGGGGAAAAGGGGCCAAATCCAGCCCCAGGCCCCCTCCCGTGCCGGGGCTGGTGGAGCGGAGCAGGCCCCCCGCAGCTGTGTTGTCGGTCACCCAACAAAAGCCACGTTTCGGCTCTTGACAAAACTCCCCACGTCTGCTCCAGGGGAGAACATTGCCCGTAATCGGTGCTGGCAGGGAAAGCTGGGCCCCGGCCCGGGCTGGCTCCCGCTGCCCTGGCATCGTCCCCGGGGAGGGACAAACGCTCTGGGCTGCACATTCCCTACCAGCCCTCCCTGCTTCGCAGTTTGGTTTTGCTACAGGGCCTGGGGACATGGGGTAGGGGGAAACACAGCTCCCGTCCCCTGTGCGGGAGTAGATACCCCTCAGGGCCCAGCAAAGCCCAGTCCAACCCAGTTCAACTCAGTTATTGGTGCCTCCCAGAGGGGACAAGGATGGCGGGAGCTGCTGCTGCGCTAACGGGGCAGAGACCTCACAGGGAGCAGGAGGGAGAGGAGCTGACGGAAGAGGGGCTTGAGAGCATCCCTCCTGCGGCCCCTCCGGTACCCCCGCCCCCGGAGCAGGGCACCCTGGGCTCCACTTCCCAGTTCAGCATCCCGGCTCTGCATCCCCATCCAGCATCGCAGCTCCGCATCCCAGTTCAGTATCCCAGCTCTGCATCCCTTGTTTGCATCCCCGTCCAGCATCCCAGTTCAGCATCCCCGTCCAGCATCCCAGCTCCGCATCCCAGCTCCGCATCCCAGTTCAGCATCCCCGTCCAGCATCCCAGCTCCGCATCCCAGTTCAGCATCCCAGCTCTGCATCCCTCGTTCGCATCTCAGCTCCGTGCCCACCACCTCGTCCCTCCCGGGCACAGCTCGGCTGTGGGATGCCCCCCCCGCCCCCGCCGGGGTGCAAAGTGCGGGCACCCCGGAGGCACCGGCC